AGCGGCCCACTGGAACGAGGGGGACAGGGGGGTAACCGCTGAAGTAAAACTGGTGTGATTGGGAAACGGGAGAGGGAGGAAAGGGGGGTCTGCGCGCGGCTAGGTGCGGCGGCGGCGGTTGTGGCGGCCCGCGGTGGGGACGTGCACAAATTCGCCCCAGTAATCCTAAGCTTAGAGATTACGAACCAATGTCCATGGTGCCTCAGCAGCGATTGGGCCGCGTTTGCCGGGCCACGGAGGCTCGCGGACTATGCTGCAAGGAATGCAGTTGCTGGGGGCGCGGGCTACGGGGGACCTCAGTACTGACATGTGCACTCTGCTATGTTATCGCGAGACTCGAGGTCCCTTGCATTCTCAGCGTCTCGTCCGCTCGCGCAGCCCAGGGCCAGAAGGAGTCGCGCTGGCCGCAGTAGAAGAAAAACAGGACATGGAGGGCTCGGCAGGTTCAGATCGGACCACCCGCGCCAAGCACGAGGAACCATGATGGCCAAGGCTGGGGCGAAGAAAGCAAAGGTGGCGGGACCGCGCGCGGAGGTGGAGAGAGCGGTGAGGCGACAGTTGCGCGCGTCGGCCGAGGAGAAATGAAGGCAAAGGCGGCGAGGGCAGCTGGCTTGAGGACAGCGAAGGCCGGCTCCATTCCGCGCGGGCCCTCCATTTCAGCCAGCCTCGCCCGGCCGGTCGCCCAGTGCTGGGGGGCCATTCCAGCGAACCGCGCAGCTGAGGAAATTGCGGGAGGGATCAGCAAAGACCCTGGGGGGCCCCAAGGCCGCCGTCAAGAGCCAGGTTCAAGCGGCAGAATGGTGTTATGTTTTTTTCCGCATTATCAGAAAGGCTTAGAGAAGAACGACGACGGGCCCTCGAATCCAAAAGCGCGGGGAAAGGGCCCCCGACTAACCGCGCCAGATGATGATCGAGAAGAAAGGCCGACCCCGCAGGTCTCGTCGGTCTCGCGGGCCCCGCGGGGGCCGCAGGCCCCGCAGGTGTCGCAGGTCGCCCAGCGGGCCATCGTGCCCCGGAGCACCTGGCGCCGCGTGCGTCGATGTGAGCGTCGCGCGATCGCGGCCCCGCCCTCCCCCTCAAACGGACAACAGGCGCGGGCATGCCGGCGCGAACGGACGAATCGGACTGCGATGGCGGATTTCCAGCCACCAGCAGTGGGCGAGTCGTCGGAGTCAGAGGCCCTCGACGCAAAATGATTACATCAACGGCGAGCAGGTAACTTGCATGACGGCATCATCAGTGCCCCAGACCCCAACGTGGGCCCCATTCAGAAACGCCGCGCCAAGGTGGTCCACGGATGCCGCGACGCAGCGAAGGGGATCACGTCGGTTCTTGCGATGAAGAAAGCAGAACTCCAACAATTTGCCCTCGGCGCGCCCGTGCAGCGGGAGAACGGGCAGCCCTGCGGGACAAACTCAGAGAGCAGAGGGGTGCTCCGATTCCCGTGCCGACCCCCGTCATCAGGGGGCAGCGACCAGAGTGGCGGGCTGGCCACCTCGACGGAGAAACAGGCGGAGGCCCCCAATATTGGCTTCGAGGCAGTGGGCAAGATCGCCGCGGCGAATGAAGGGGGAGGTGAAGTGGCGCGTGGGTCTTGGGGGCGCACTGGGTCGAGAACGAGGGCGAGTGGGGGCAGGGGCGAAGGCGCGTCGAAGAGCAAGCTAGTCCGCCTGGCCACTGGGGGCCCCGGGGAGAAGGAGGCGCCTCAGAGGGAAGCAGCAGGGGCCATCTCCCCTGGGGGAGAGCTACGTTGCAGCGCGAGCTCTTCCGGGCTCACAACGCGGGATGCCCCGTCTGACGATCGACGACCGAAAGCAGAAGGCGCAGGGGGTGAAGAACGCCCTGGTGGCCAGCCGCAACCAACCCATCCCGCGCCGCGGCGGAGGCAGGGCGCGGGCCGAGGCGCCGCGCCGCCTGATGGAGATCCTCGCCCGCCGCGTCGAGATCTACCACAACGTCGCGGGGGCGATCGACGTGGCGATGGGCTTCGCCGACGCGGGCCAATTCGCGATCGCGACGTGGCCGCGGTATATGTGCCGCCGCTCGTCGGGCGACGAGGAGGCGGAGGGGGGCCGGGGGCGACGGCGAGGGCATGATGCGCGAGGAAAGCGACATTGAGTATTGAGATTCAGTGGATAGGGCCGTGATGACGATTGGGGGAAAAGCCACGGTGCCGGCGCTTCGCGCCAGCGCTGCCGACGTGGGAACGACGGCGGGGCAGGGGCTCCGACGGGGGCGCTGGCGCGGGGGAAATCAAATCAGGGTGTGCGAGGATGAATAAACAAAAAAGGCTTGACATGATAAGTAGACTGGCTACTTAGGTTCTCCGACGCCCATGCTACTTGCATCGGTCGCCGCAGGCAGGCAACGGCGACCGTCGGAGGGCGGTTGAAGCGGAAGCTGATACCGGGGGAGAACGCGGCCGAGACTGAGAACGCATAGTAGGCGCTGCGCACGACAGACGAGAACAGTGGCAAGGACGTAATTGCCCCCGTGCCAGTCTTTAGATGACAGACGACGGTGCGGGTGGCAGTGGGCGTCGAGTCCGCGCTCGGCAGAGCCAGCGAGAACACCATGGTGCAATGGGGCCCCGGGGCAATAGTCAAGGCGGCCTCGTGGGGTATATCAACTCCGCGAGGCGCCTCCGACAGCCGCTCTGGCAGAGCAGTGCAATGGCGCGAGTCTCATCCGTCGCGGGCAGATGGGGCGCTGGTGCAAGGGTGGAGAGCATCCTAAGGCTTACCTGCCAGCTGAAGACCGCGGGGCGGTGGGGGTCGCGTGGCTTTCCAAGGGCAAGTGCCTCCTTCGCCTTGCTGGGATAGCGCGCCGAGCGAGACGACTTGCGTCGCCAATCAGATGGGCAAGTACGCGAAGGAGTTCCATGTGCGCGAGGACGCGGCCAAACCAGGGTGGACTATTGCGATCCGTCTTCGTGGATCCACCACAGCTGGGCACCGAAAGACGAGGGCAAGTGGACCCATGGCGGCATGCAGTTGACAGGGCAGTACAAGGAGAAGGAGGGCCCCGCGCCGCCAGCGGACTTGCGCCCGCCGCGGTCGGATAATTCAGGGTGACGAGCAGGTGGTCCATGTGCTTGGGCCCATGTCGGATGCGTGGAGCTAGACGACGCGAAGCTTTTGAACCTGGGAATCTCCATGGCGATTGCAGAACGTAACAAGAAATTGACCGCGCCGTCGAAGCTGGAGGACGCGTGCCCAGGCGCCCCCAGATCCCTAGGACTCCCCATGAGTGATGGGGAACGAGCAAAAAGAAGACAGGCAGTGCAGACGACGGGCGGGGATAGATATCAGCTGTGGGGCCCAACTGCGACGGCGGGCGACAGTCGCATACAACTATGGGAGACTTATGAAGTGAGCTCCTTGAGGTGAGACTACAGAAGGCAAAATTTATGATGGTATGATTGTGATGCGAGAGAACATCAGAACGCATGAGGGAACCACCATGAGCTCACATAACATGGGATTGCGGTCAGGGCCTGGGAAGCGCTACCATGCGATGACACAGGCATTGGATATTTCATCAGGATCAAACGATTCCAGAAGGTCTCCATAGGAGACACACCGCCGACTCCCATTGCCAGTGTTGAGTCAAGCCTTGGCACGCATAACCTAAACAGCAGAAGTAGGGCTCAGTTTTTGTACTTCAGCGCAGACTTGACTGGTGCCTCGGAGTTGCCTGATGCGAAGATAGATTTTGATCTTTCCCACGCCCCTCGCTTCCCCCTCCTCCCGTCTTGTCCCTTTGCGTCCTGCGTTGCCTTGCTTTTCCGCCCTGTCATGCCCTGTCTGTCTGCCTGCTGTTTGTCCCCCTACTCTTTGCCTCCCGCGCTCCGTGAGCCCTACGGGGTCTCTCCCCGCCCCCGGGTCTTCCTCGCTCATCCCGTCGGATCTTCTCCCGTTGCTCCTTTGCCTGCTGGCCTTTCCCCCGTTGCTCTTGGTCTGGGGGGGGGGGTAGGTGGGCTTAGGGCCCAGGGACGAGAGCGGCGGGGAAGGCAGGGCGGGTTGGCGCGCGTGCGCCGCCCCGCCGCCCCCGCCGCCCGCCGTTTGCCCGCCCGCGTGCTCTTGAAGTGCAGAGCGGCAGCTCTTTCCGCACCCCGTGCCGTCTCTGTCGTCGTCCCGCGGCCAGTCGTTGTTGTTCCTCCCCCCTTTGGTTGCGAATGTTTCATCGCCGCCGAAGGGGGCCGGGCCCCCTCCCCCCCAAACTGCGAACATCAGGGCTCGATGGGAGCTTATTGCAGCGGCCCTCCCCCCGGTCTCTTTCTCGAATTCGGTCCCGGGGGGCCGCCCTGGGCAGGCCCGTGCGAAGGCGGGGCCCGCATCCATATCTTCACATAGGCACTCCGTAGTTCGCGGCTCTCTGTATGGGGGCTGGCGAGCAGATTCGCCTCCAACGCGCTTGACCTGAACCTTCGCATCCTCCTCCTCCTCCTCCTTTTCCTTTTCCTCCTCTTCCTCCTGCTCCTTTTCTTTTTCCTCCCCCGCTTCCTCCTCTCCTGTTCCTCTTCCTCCTCATCCTTCTCCTCCTCCTCCCTCCCCCTCCCCCCGCTCTTTCTCCTCCTCTCCTGCCTACTCGTCGTCCTTGCCCCTCCCCCCTCCTTCTCCACGTCCTCCTCCTCCGCCTCCTGTTCCTCCTCCTCCTCCTCCTCGTCCTCTTCCCTCTCCCTTTATTCGGCCGTTAACCGGAGAAAGCGCCAGGAGGCTGATCCTTCGGATGTTTGTTAACTTGTTTGTTGCCGTTTCTGGTGCGTATTTCATGTAGTGGCACCTTCAGCTGGTGTGGGTCTCCTCCTCCTGCTCCTCCGCGCTTCGAAGGGCCCGGCTGGCCCACTTGGCAGTCGCAGAGGATCGCACCTGTGGCCGCGCGGGTCCAGCGGAGGGCCTTCGGGCCCCGCCAGGGCCGCGCCAGCGCCGTGAGCCGCCAGGCGTGCCCCCGCCCAAGGACTGGCCGAGCCAGGTCGGGGGGGGGGGGGGCGTGCCGAGGTCCAGCGCAGTGGTGAAGCCGTGCGTGGTGTTCGGGATGGCGGCCCCGAGCGACCCCCGCCGCTCGTCGTCGTCCTTCTTCCCTCCTCCTGCTTTATCCTCCTAACACCTCCTTCGTCTTCCTGGTGCTTCTCCTGCCTCCTCCCTCCTTGTCGTCCTCCTCCCTCCTCCTCCTCCCTCCTTGTCCTCCCCATCCTTCTCCGCCCTCGTCCTTCCTCCTCTTCCTCCGCCCTCCTTGTTCCTCCTTTTCCCCCGCCCTCGTTCTTCCTCCTCCTCGTCTTTCTCCGCACTTCTCTTTTCTACCCGTCTTCCATTCTCCTCGTTCTCTCCCCTCGTCCTTTTCGTCCTCCTGAAACGGTGGGTCGTGCTCGGGATGGTGGCCCCGGGTCGAAACCTCCAGAATCGAGGCTCGACGGAAGTGGCTCGAGTTTCTTTGATAGTGTTTGTGCCGTTTTGGGATTTCTGCAGGTTCCCTGAAGCTTGCGCCAGCACTCCTTTAACCTTTGCAAGATTTCAAGGCGAATGTACGCGGTTCTGAGGCGAGAGCTCAATTTTGAAAAGGAGCCTCCTTCCATCCTTGAAGTTGTTGCAGACTTTTGAGACGAATGTGCGCGGCGCTCATGCGAGTGTTCCATTCGGCAAAGGACCAATTCCATGGGTGAAGCTGGTGCGAACTTTTGAAACGAGTGCTCTCGGCTCTGAGGCAAGAATCACAAAATTGAAAGCGCCTTCCATTCACCAGTGAAACGTTTGCAAACGTTGAAAGACGAGCGTGCGCGGCGCTCAGGCGAGAATCACGTTTTGACCCCCCTTCACTCTTGAAGCCCTTGGAAATGTTAAGCTTCAGGGTCGCAAGTGGTGACGCAGTCTCAGGCGAAACGCCTGGCCTGCCCTGGCGACACGTCGATGATGCGACAGGGGGGGCGTTACTTTTACAACAAATGGCTGGAGGGAGGGGGGAAGGACGGTGGAGAAGGAGGGTTGATGATGATGATGATGATGCTGATGATGATGATGATGATGATGATGATGATGATGATGATGATGATGATGATGATGATGATGATGATGATGATGATGTGGATGTTGATGATGATGATGATGAGGAGGAGGAGGAGGAGGAGGAGGAGGAGGAGGACGAGGAGGTTGAGGAGGAGGAGGAGGAGGAGGAGGAGGGAGCAGCAGCAATGATAATCGAGGATCAACATTCGAGGTTATGCCAACTTGTTTTGAGTCAAAAGTCTTACGCCAATCCGCCGACCCACAGATGAGGAGATGTGCGGCTTCCGATTTCGTGGTGTTGGTTGCCACTTCCCTTGCGATTTCTTCGTATAGTTGTCGCTGATTCGTCCTCCTCTTCCTCCGTGTCAGTTGCGGAGCTTCTTGGGGGGGCCTCTCGGGCCGTCTGGGGGGCCTCCTTGAGGCCCTTACCGGACATTTTGCTCTTGGGTGCTTCCGTGGGGCATGTTGGAGGTCTTGGGGCGATATTTTAGAAAGTTGCGTCCGTGGCTCCTTCGCTTTCTCTCTCTCTCTCTCTCTTGGCGCTTGTGGAAGCCTCTTGGGCCGTGTTGGGGCCCTCCTGGGTCATCTTGGGCCGTCTTGGGCTCCTCTTGGGGCTCTCTTGGGCCTTCTTGGAACCGTCTTGAGGCCTCGGAGGGCAGTCGAAAACGAAAAGGCGAGAATGCAAAACACATGGATGTTCTTCAGGTGTTTGAAGGATATTGTCCTCTTGGTGGCTTCCTTGGGAGGCTTCGTGGCCACTTGGAGTCGTCTTGGGGAGGTCTTGAGGCCTCTTGCAGCATGTTGGAAGCCATCTTGAGCGACCTTGCGCCACCTTGAGCCATCTTGGAGACCATCTTGCACTCTCTGAGGGTCTCATGGAGCCATCTTGTGCCGTCTTGGACTCTCTGACCGCTCGCTGCCCCCCCACGTCCAAGTACATGGGGAGGGGGTAGGGGGAGGGCTCGAGGCATCCTCCCCGCCCGCAACGCAAGCCCTCTTGCTCACTCCCATCCGCCCTCCCAACGCGAACGCCCATCTCCTCTTTCTCCTCTTCCTCACGAAACAAAGATGATGGTGATGCTGCGGATGATGGTGATGGTGGTGGTGATGATGATGATGATGGTGATTCGGATTGTCATGATGATGACGATGATGGTGATGATGATGATGATGATGGTGGTGGTGATGATGATGATGATGATGATATTGATGATGATGCTGATAATGTTGATGAGAAGATGTCGGTCGGGGCGTTGGTTTTCGTACCCCCGAGGGGGGGAGGGGGGGCGCCGGGAAGTATTGCGCGGCCCCGTTCGCGCCCGGATTGCCCGTTTGCATGTCCAATATCCCGCGCTTTTGAACAGGTTTTGAGAATGTCTCGGGGTTTTCGCACCTCAAGGGGGTGCGCCACGGGGTGTCTTACGGACCCGTTCGCGCCCAGATTGCGGGATCTTTCAAGCAGCTTGCTGTTTACATGCCCAGTATTCGTAGTAGTAGTAGTAGTAGTAGTAGTAGTAGTAGTAGTAATAATAGTAGTAGTAGTAGTAGTAGTAGTAGTAGTAGTAGTAGTAGTAGTAGTACTAGCAGCAGTAGTAGTAGTAGTAGTAGTAGTAGTAGTAGTAGTAGTAGTAGTAGAAGTAGTAGTAGTAGTAGTAGTAGAAGTAGTAGTAGTGGTAGTAGTATTCGTAGTAGTATTTGTAGTAGTAGTAGTAGTAGTAGTAG